GCACTGGCTGCGGGTGTGCCCATTTCCTCCCATTCTGAATCTGCCCATTCAGGCAAGGGGCTGGAGAAAGACCAACCCTCTCCCTTGAATTCCAAAGCATGTAGATGAAAACCAAAGTCATCTTTGGCTATTAGCAGATGCAGCGGACAGAGTTCACATTCATTGTCTATGATAGCTCTAGCCTGGTCAACGAATGGCCCCTTAGCCATGGTGAGCCAAGGTTCACAGACTATATCTCTAGATGTAGCATGTTCTAATGGAGCCCATCGTGATCTTGTTGATTCATATGCTCTTAAGATCTCTTTAGAACATTCAAGCACACCCCCTTTGCCACGGTTTTCTCCAAACATAGGACTATTATAGATTGGGTCATTGTCAATTGGAAATCCAAGGTACTGCAGGTGGACTCTAATTTGATGAGTGCGACCTGTGTAAGGTCTGCACAGGACAATACTTCTATTTGTTTTTGGATTGTAGCTCATAATTTCAAATACAGTTTTACTGGGCTTTCCAGTTTTGCAAACTTTCATTATTCTAGTTTTGTAATCAAGTGGGGTAATAGCTTCCTCACATTCTATTGTTCCAGGAAATTTGCCTACAACTCTTGCAACATATGTTTTACAGGTTTTCCTATTTGCATTTTCTTGTGAAAAGAAAGATGCTGTTGACTTGTTTCGACCCAATAAGAAAACACCACTTGTCCCCTTATCAAGCCTATGAATAATATACGCATCTCTCATATTGTACTCACGTGCAAGGATGTAAATGAGTGTGTTATGCTGATACCTGCCTGTAGGATGTATAGCTAGACTGGGTGGTTTGTTGATAACTATGATATTTGAATCATAATGTAATATATCAACTTTAAAATCACTTACTGGCATCTCATGGCGGTGAACCGTATGCTCAAGTGCATCACCAAATTTCAAAACATAATCTTTGGTAGGACGATTCCCATTAACACGTATAAGTCCAGCAGCAATGTCTCTCTCAACCCAGTTTTGATCATGCACTGCATAAAATGTACTAGTGTATGCATTTTCAATAGACAAGCCAACCCAATGTTTTTTCACAAAAGAACGATATGTATAAAAATATGGGTACACGTGCCTGAAACCTTTGTGAAAAAAGTAGGATGTTTCCCTAAAACTTTCATCCCATAAATTATTCCTTATCTGTATCATATCCTTAGGATCTTCAACAAATCTATTAGAATGTGGACAAATAATTGGAGAAAAAATTGACTTGTTTGAAATTTGACTAGTGGCATTCCTTGATATCTCATCAGGAGGTCTTTGAATGAAGTCCACAGTGTCAGGACATAAATTCTCCCCATGCTGACATGATAATCTACGCTTAGATAAAATGGGGTACTGTTTGTATGAAGCTCCCATCAGCAATGATGACACCACAGGTTGAACGCCAGGCTGTACAGGTAAAGAAACAAAACCAAAACGTTTTTTTTAACCAAACAAATACAATTAAAACACACATGCAATGCAATTTAACTAGGAGTCTAGTCAACAGTGATCAAACAATATACAGGTGTATACATATTTTTTAAATGTGAAAAATATAGTGGACGTTATCCAAAGTGACTGAAAAATAACTACACAGTCAGAAGCAGTGAATTCAAAAGCATCAATAACTTACTTTTAAACTTTTCGATGTTGAAGCCAACTGTCGGCACAATTTCTGTAGACTTGTCATCTTCAGATTTGAAGTGGTTCAGAACAGTGGTTTTTCCACTGTTATTCAATCCAACCACTAAAACTTTTACTTCTTGTTTGCGTAAACCAAAAAGGGTCACAAGCTTGTCAAAGAGGCCCATGAAGACAAACGTTGTCAAAACATCAACTGTCAAAAAATGAAAATGATCATGTGTTAGTTAAAAGGGAAAATTCTCTAAATTTTACATGAATTATCGTACTAACCATGAAGTTTAACAACCAACAAATCGACAAAGAACAGAACGGTGGAACCGAATACAAGAAAAAGCTCGTGAGATCAAGGAGATAGGGATAGATTTGTCAATGTGTTGCAACATTAACAAAAAATGTCCAATTTGCGACGAATAAGACACAATAGATAAATCTAAGCACAGCAGGAGCGTCTGCTATTGAATGAAGTAGTGTGGTCCGTCTGTTTATTTTTTGCGTCGTCAACTGTTCTCTCACAAATTTCAAGTTTCCTGCCGGCGCAATTTTTCATACTATGTTGCTGTTGGTGTTATCGTTCGTTATCAACAGCAGGTGATGATGGTGATGTTGAAGTGAAGTGATTCGTAACTCTTTCGAATGTTCCTGTTTACTCCCAAGAGTTCTAAGCTTATCCTTATTTTTCCATCGCTGCCTCTCTAAGTGGTAAATATATTGTTGATTTTTGGTTGAATGGTGACCTTGGTTTACTTTTTCGCTGTCACTTTCGTTGCCAAATTTTGGGGTAGACTTAACCTGTGTATTCATTTGATTTCCTGTTATGATATCCATATTTTATCATGCTAGCTTTCTCGTTGAGTAAATTGGCTGTTCTTATGTAAATATATGTCTCTGTATTATCAGGGGATTGTTTTGAGTTTCTCTTTCTTTCACCGAACTGGATTTGTTGACAGACTGGCAGACATTTGAAAAACTTACTTCATTCCCCTGGTAATTTCCACGATAACCACACTAGATTCACTTCCTTTTTGATTGGTTTCATTAACAAATTAGAGTGACCGCAGCTCAATTTTGCCTCATTAGTTTTTAGTATTTTCCTGATAATCAACGTCAACCTACTTAGATCTCCTTCTTGTTACAGGCTATGTATTTATATGTTCTAAATCAAATTGAATAAGAGAGATAAAATGGAGCTGTGCCATAGTTTGTTAACTTGGCTCCATACTCTGAACCTTTCGGCATCTCATTCAACTCCTCAAGAAACTAGCGATGGAGTTGCTGTGGCTCAAGCTTTGAATCAAATTGCCCCAGAATGGTTTACAAGTTCATGGTTAGCCAAGATCAAGATTGATGTTGGTGACAACTGGAGATTAAAAGTCAGCAATTTAAAAAAAATTGTAGAAAAAATTGTTGATTACTACCAAGACAACTTCAATCAAACTCTTCCTGATAGTGTCAAACCGGATGTCAACCGCATTGGTGAGCAAGGAGATGAGGCTGAACTGGGCAAGCTTTTGCAATTGGTCTTGGGATGTGCTGTGAATTGCAACCAGAAACAAGATTACATTACTGCCATCATGGCTATGGAAGAAGATGTTCAACAAGTTATTATGCAAAGCATTCAGGCACTAGAAGGCAATGTTGGGAGCAATGCAGCCAGTCTTGCTCCCAGTCTTGACCCAGACGGCCCTCAACTAACAAGAGTGCTTGCTGAGTTAGAGCAGGCTGTTGACGCAAGGGATGAACTTGCTAGGCGCTGCCAAGAACTAGATCTTCAAGCAAGCTTGCTACAAGAGGAGAAAGCTAGTTTGCTCCATGAAAACCGGAGAGCACAGGAACGCCTTCGTCAGCTGGAAGCTGAGGAAGCCTCTGTTGGTAGTGGAAACCGCCTGCAAGAACTAAGAAGACAACTTGATTCAGTAAAAGAGGTAAGATGGTAAGATACTTTTTAAATAGTATTTCTTGTTGATTATCATGTATTTAAATCTCTTGTACATAACTTTCAGGAGCTCTACAAAGTGGAAACATCTAGAGATGACTATCGTGCTAAAATAGATCTCCAGGATCAAGAACTCAAAGAACTTAGGATAAGAACAGATGAATTGCAACGCAAAGCTGAAGAAGCCCAACATCTTAAAGATGAGGTTGATATATTACGGGAGACAGCTGATCGTGTTGGTCAGTATGAAGCCACCATTACAAGTTACAAGAAAAAGCTTGATGAAGCTAGTGATATGAGGAGGCAATTAAAATTATTGGAAGACAAGAACCTTGAGCTTGTTCAACAGACATTGCAGCTGGAGGATGAAGTGAAAAAGTCAGGGACGTGGCGTCCACAACTAGAGCAATACAAGAAACAAGTCGCTGAACTGCATTCTCAGTTAGCTGAGGTGAAAGATCACACTTCCTTAGGTAGTACTCTAATATAGAATAAGAATATACTCATTCGTCTTTTCCACCTTTTCAGGAGACCAAGCGGGCTGACAGAGCTGTATTTGAAAGCAGGAAAGCTGCTGAAAAGCTCACTGCTGCCCAGAGAGAAAAAGAGCGTCTCATTCTAGAACGAGATACTTTAAAAGAAAACAATGAAGAGTTAAAATGTCTTCAGATGCAAGCTCAGCCTACTACTGTTTCCCCTGGTGCTCATTCTGCCGAAGATGAAATGTCAGAAGGCATGATTTCACCTGACGTAAGACAGCGTTTAATGCGTCTTGAACATGAGAATAAGTTGTTAAAGCTTAACCAACGTGGCCCAGAGGAAGAAAAGGTAGCAATTGTGCAAGCTTTGCTTGATGATGCAAACCAAAGAAATGAAATGCTCACTGCTGAGAATAGAAGGAACACACAGCGTTTGTATGAATTAGAAAGTCAGGTAAGAACTTATCAGTTTTATTTTGCAAAGTAAAATTGAAACTTACCCAGTACTCTACTCTGGAAGCTCACAAATTTTTAAAATAACTTTTGTTGCTTCAGGTTGCTGATTTGATGGAGAAGAATGCAGAGGGAGGAGCTGATCTCAAGACCCATTTGTCTGAGCTACGAATGCAGCTAAAACAAGCCCAGGATGAAAAGGATCGCCGTAACAACCAAATTGAGCAAAAAGAGGTTGCACTGGAGGAGAGCAGACAAACACTTTCCTCATTACAGGAGACTGTAAAAAAGAGTCGTCAAGAAATTGTTTCCCTTGAAGAGACAATCAAGCACAAAGACATTGAAAAGCAAAATCTTGAAGAGCAGTTAAAGAGGAAGGAACAGGAAAAGCAAGCAATTGAAGACAAGTACAAGAGATGCATGGAAAAAGCAAAGACGGTCATTAATAGCCTTGAGCCAAAGAAGGTTATGCCTAATGTTGATGTGAACGTTCTCTGCAACCAGTTATCCGAAAAGAATAGTGTAATTGAAGAGTTGGAACGTGAGAAAGAAAAATATAAACAGACAAGGGAAATGGAAGACCGTCTGATGAGTTCTGCTCTCCACACACTTGGGTTATCTCGGCACAGAGAAGCTGTTGATCTTCATCTAGCTAATCTTAATTCTGGTCAAGGGCAGTCATTTTTAGCTAGGCAGCGGCAACCCACCAATCGTAGACGAACAACACCTCACAATTACAACTCCAAATAAAGAGAAATTGGAACAAACTTTTTCTGCTATGATATAATACGTATTTTTCTCAGTACTTGCTTGAATAGCTGAGTTATTAACTAAAATCTAGTGCACATGATTGATCAAATGTGTTTTGTGAACACAGAAATTCTGTACTGAAAGCACTGTAGAGGCACTAGAACTAATGGTGTTGTTTCATTGTTATATGTTCACTATAATATTGTTATTTCTGTTTTTATATCAGATTATAAATGCATGGGAAATAACCCATACTGACACTCCCAGATGGATATTTCCTTATGCCCTGACTTGTTTGTTATTACCCATTTATGATACTTTAATTATTTTTACACATGTTTTGGTATTAGTATTATTCATTGTCATGGTGCTTGTGAGATTATAGTAATCTGGAATATAAGAAGAGGCTAATGCATTTTTGTCTCTTAAACCTCACATAATTGGAATACAAGAAAAGGAAATAGAAAGCAATAGCTGTTGGTTGTATACCTAAATATAGCTTGCATTATTTTATTTAAATTTCTATGTACAATAAATACATACAGTTGAGAAAGTAACTAGAACCTGAATCTTACTTCATCTTTTTCTGCTTCAGAAGATGGTTTCTGAGAGCAGCCTGTTGACAAAAATGGTGAAGACAATATGAATATATACCTAACAAACTTTCAAAATATGTCCAAATGAGAAAACTAACTAATGTACCTGTTTGTCTTTAAAGGAACGCTTGGTCTTCCCACGAACTTTGTGTTTCAGCATCATGAAGTTCTTCTTCTTCCTCTTCTCTCTGTGTGTAGTACTTGCAAAAGGGTCCACTCGACCTCCTTTATATCCAAACTTCTCACGGCCCTCATGCCCCTTCTGAAATATTCAAACAGCCACCAATATTAGCTCCAGCATACAGATCACTATTGAGCTGGCCAGCAAAAAGAGAAATGATCCATACCTTAATGCTCTCCATGCGAGTTAGCTTGTCATGTTTCCTCTTCTTGTAGATGTTTTCAATGTCATTCAGAGAAACAAGCTCACCTCTGTAATGTTCGGTAAGTGATGAAATTTTTTAAAATAAAAAGAGCAAAAAACAGACAGATGTTGAAGCCTCACCTCTCACGAAGAGCATCCTCCTCAGCGGAGCGCTTTGTTCCTCTAGAAACTCCCTGCATTTGCTTTCGCAACTGCGCTGCCTCTATCCTCTTAAAATCCTCATCGGTAAGTATTCTATCCAAAACTATTTCTTCAGCCTTCACCCTTTTCTCCTCAGCAGTTAAACGCATTTTAGCTTTATTACTAATTTTAGATGACTGAGTACTTTTGGATATATTTGACTTTTCACTACTCTCTGAGGTTGTACGTTTCTAAATTAAACAAATTGAATATAATAACTGAGCTGAAAGGTAAGTAAAACATCATATTTGAAAAATGAGTAAAAATAATTACCTTGCTTTTCTTTCCTTTAATGTTAGGAATAGATACTTCTTTATCATCATCACAATCTTCCTCTTCCTCTTCCTCATCCTCGTCTTCTTCTTCTTCTTCATTATTGTCATCACATGAATCTTCAGCACTTTCATCTTCACAATCCTCTTCCTCTGCTTCGTCTTCTTCTTCTGAATCATTTTCACCTTCATCAACTTCTGCTTCACTCCCTTCTTCAGATCCTTCAACCCATTCCCCACCTTCACTATCGTCACTGCTGTCACTTATGTCGATATCTGAGCCACCATCATCACCAACATCTACCCAACTACCATCACTATCTCCATCATCATCTTGACTGGACTCCTAGATAAAAAAGTATTTGGTTTAGAAATTTCAAAAATATATTCAGTACATTAAATTGTGATTACTTACTTTCTTAGATGCTGGCCTCAGAAGTACTTCAGCACCAGGAATATAACTCTTAGCATCAACTTCTCCATACTTCCTACTCTTTTGCTCTTCAGTAGCTTCTGTTGGCTTACCCTGAGATCAATCAAGTTCAATTGACGTTAAAGACAAATTTTCCAAAGCCACCTTTCATTTAAAATGAGAAAAACAACTTACCCTGTTCTTCTTGTGTAGCAGTTCTGGTTGATGTTGACGGTATAAATGGATAAGTGAATGAGCAGCCATCATCACACTTCTTTCTTTGTATTTTTTGTACTCCGCTAAGTCATGCAAAAGATCTTCAGACATCACAAGTGGACAACGGCCACAAATCTCTCGGACTGCATTTAAACTGAGGAAATTTAAGAACTTGATTAGCCACAATATAGCTGACTATCTTGAGAAACAGAGGTTGAATAACCAACATACCCAATAGCAATTGCATCGGCAGAGTTCCGCTCAGTTACAAAATTATTTACTAGTGTCTTTATAACAGGTTCTAATGCCTAGAAATGTTAAAATTGAATTAAGTACAATAACAACAACAACAACAACAAAAAATTAAAAATGAATGTCAGAATAAAACCTTACGTCAGGGGGAACAAGCTCATGAGATGCTTGGGCAAGAAAGAGAAGGATCTTTGTCACCTCTATAAATAAAGGTAGATACATAATGCATTAGACAGATTAATTTACGCCTCAAAGTGTCAGATAAATAGATTAGATAAAATCATAGTACCTTTCTGATGAGGTTGCATGAATCTCTGAATATAGGGGTAAAAATTCAGAAGGAACAATTGGTGAAGGCCAATTAGTCTTGAAATTAAGTCCAATGTGAGCATCTTAACTTCAAATCTCTCATTAGTTGTTTCTAGCTGCTTGAATAACTTGTCTGCCAGACCTAGAGGAGAAAGTTTAATGATGTACATTTTTAGGGATCACATAACTATCCAGAATATTCCCACATGAGATGTGTTGGGCTATCATACCTTGAGGATCATGTATAAGGTGGAGAGCAGAAAAATTGTAAACAGGAACAGAATTCTTCTTCTTCTTTTTCTAAGAAGACATGAGACAAAAACAGTCAAGAAACAGTAGTTTTTAAAACCATGGCGAACACAATGCATTAATAAAGACACTTTGTCATACATACTTTCACCAACTTCTTAACTTGGCTAAGCTGTTTCTCTCGTTTCCTGGTTTTCTTGTTAAACTTGTTGGCCATTATAACATCTTTTGCAGTCACTTCATCCTAAAGATTAAAAAAATTAAAAAAATTATTATTTTTTAGGGTTTGTCTGCTTTACCTCAAGAAATAACTAGAGTCCCTCTAAAGTACCTCAGAATCACTGTCATCATCCTTTTTTCCTTCTTCTGAGTCTGTACTAGTGAAGAAATTCAGAGCTGCAACTTTCACCTTGGGGATAATTTTAATTTAAGATTAAAAAAAACAAAAACAATGAATGTTACCACAGTAAAGTTACGTTTGTAAAGGGAACAAATACCTTCAAAAATTTTGAAAAGCAGGCAAGTGAAATAACATTAACTGTTTTGGCATCATTCCAAATATTCTTTTTATATAGCTGAATCATAATATCCTGGAAAGCATAAACATAAGGTAAAAACAGATTTAGCGGAATTCCAAAAGATTAGGAAAAGGTAGGAGAGGTACAAAAAAATGATCATACCACAGACATTTTGGATGCTTTTGAATTTGAATCATTAAGCATACTGTACATAAAATTTTGAAGAGTCTGAAAAAAGATTAAAAATAAAATTAATATGAGACAGTTGACAAGAACTAAAATCCAACCCACTACATGTGAAATAACAGTTGAATAAATTATAGTACCGTATTAAGCCTTGCATTCTTGTGCTTTGAATTAACATTTTTAATGTCTGTTATAATGTGGTTCTCCAAAAATTGACGAAGTTGTTTATCTTGACACCTTAGCAATTGGAAAAAGAGAGACAGGAGATCTGTTGGCTCTAATAAGTTCTTGTTTCGAAGCAATATCAGGGCACGGCAGAAAGTCTGAAAATAGAGACAGCAGTTGGTGTAAACAGAACTCAGAAAAATAATCAGAAGCAGACAAAATATCGCAGCTCTCACCATACGCATAGCAGCATCTAGAATAGTATGATGTGTCTGAAGTATGGTCATGAGTTCTTGAGGAAACTCTTTGAGCTCTACTGGATAACATTGAGCAATTTGAGCCAAAAATATCACAAGTTCATCTAAACTTTTTTCATAATTCTCAGGATGAAGTTTGAATATTTGCATAAGGGCAGAATAGTGGCGATACTGCTGTGTAAACTGGACAGGAAATCAAAGACGGCATTAGAAGACTGCTACAACCAAACACCACATAATTTACGCTCATGCTCATAAGCACACTCAACATTTTATTCAAACACACCTCATCTTTGTAGGACTGTGGATCTCGTTTGATAAGATTCTGCAGCTGAGGAATGTTGTCAGGAAGTTGATTGTTATGTCGCACCATTTTGGACAACAAACTCTCCTGTTAATGTTAATAAAATGTTTAATGATAAAGGTAAGGAAAATACGTGAGGCAAATTTTTCGAGGAAGTTCTCCTAATTTCAAACATAAAAAAGAGATAAAACTTTCGAAGTTGCAAAAATAAATATAAAGGGGTTCTGTAACATATCCCCAAAGGTTAACCCCCATTTGAAGATGTCTAATGGACTACAATTAAATTGATAACGAACCTTTCAAAGGAGAATTCAGAGAAAAGGAATCACGCCTCAGTTTACATTAGTATCAAAATCTCCTTCTTGCCAAGAACTTTTAGGAAATTCTAACACAACATAGACAAATTGTGAAACACGTGTGGTGTGCACCTAGACACACGCAACACGCAACGCAACGTTTATTTTCTCATACGGTTGACTTCTGTAGTCTGCTTGAACTCGTACCAACTTATACAAAATAATTGCATTTAATTTTTTCACCATTATCGAAATATTGCTTATAAAAATGCTCATGTCCTTCAAATTAACAATCCTTTCTAATTTTTTAATAATATTTTTGTGGGAAATGCAAATTTTGATTTTATGTCAAGTTTTCCAATGTGGTTTTAAGTTTGTGAGGAAGAACAACACCATCAACAACAACACCACAGGGCCTTTAACCTCGAAATATCCACGTGAAAAACACATCAGACCTACAACAGTGTTGTGTGTCAGGCTCCAACATGGGTAAAGCAAGCAAAATAAAAGTGTCCAAGCAGAAAAGCAAGGCACAACCCCTAGAACAGCAATTAGAAGAACACCGTTTTGCTAAACCATCAACCAGAGTGAAAAATAGGGTTCGCCAAGACGAAGATGAGGAGGTATGATCTAACTATTAAGTTTGGCCTGAGCTACCATCGTTTTAAACATGCTAATCAGTTGTAAATAGTTCCCACTTTTATTTTTCATCAAACCCTCTTATGTCTCATGTGAATTGCTGTGATTATGCTTCTGGTCATTGGTTGGTTACGGCCAATGTTAAGGTGCTGCTTCTTTCCTTTTCCAGTATGTTACTTCAGAGCTCTCCGGTCGCATCCTCCAACAAGCCCGACGACAACAGCAAGAACTGGAGGATAATGTTGATGATGTTACGCCTGCGCCCAAGAAAGTACCTCAGTTATCAGCAGGCCGTTCTTCATCCGGTGGTAAGAATGCTGGGTCCGACGATGAGGAAGCCAGCTCAGAAGATGAAATGGATGGTGACTATTACGATGATGTGGTATGTTGTTATTGATAAATTTTCAATGTCATGGTTTTACTGTTCATAATGCTCTTCAGCACAACGTTTCTATTTTTCTTTAATTTAGAATGTTGAAGAGGCAGATGAAATTGCTCTTGAGAAGTTTATGAATTTTGGTGGCAAGGCAACCCGAACATTAGCTGATATTATTCAAGAAAAAATTACTGAAAAGCATACCGAGCTTCAAACACAGTTTTCTGATGCAGGGAGTAAGTCAAGTCAAATTAATTTTATTCTAGTGTTAACTTTTTTATTTACTTATCAAGCTTTTTTCTGTGTCTCTATGTAGGTGTTCAAATGCAAGAACTTGATTCACGAGTGAAAGAAATGTATGAAGGTGTGAGAGATGTATTAGCAAAGTACCGAAGTGGAAAACTTCCTAAAGCGTTTAAGATTGTTCCCAAATTGCGGAACTGGGAACAAATCCTCTTCATCACTGGTACGGCCTATCACATTGACACTAGTGCAAACTATGTATTCTTTTTCTTTGTCATTACTAAACTATAGCTCTTGACTTTGAACACATGTTTTCTGACAGATCCTCCCAAATGGAGTGCAGCTGCTATGTATCAAGCTACCCGTATTTTTGCATCAAACCTGAAAGATAATATGGCACAGAGGTTTTACAACCTTGTTCTTTTGCCCCGTGTTCGTGATGATATTGCAGAGTACAAGAGATTAAATTTCCATTTATATCAAGCCTTGCGTAAAGCTCTTTTCAAGCCAGGAGCTTTCATGAAAGGTGTCCTTCTACCCTTATGTGAGGTAAAGTCAACTCTTTTTACATTGTGTTTATTTACCTTGATTCAACAAGCTTATTCTGATCTCTCATTTTCATCTCCACAGAGTGGTACATGTACACTCCGAGAAGCCATCATTGTGGGTTCCGTAGTCAGCCGTAATTCTATACCCATGCTACACTCTGCTGCTGCTATGTTAAAATTAGCAGAAATGGACTACAATGGAGCTAATTCCATCTTCCTTAGAGTTCTTTTTGATAAGAAGTATGCTTTACCCTACAGGGTTGTGGATGCTGTTGTTTTCCATTTTCTGAGGTACTAATGCTTTTTGTTCTGCCATTCATCAGAAGTCTATACTGTACCAAATTGCCAACTAATAATATTTATATGTTTGTTTTAGATTTCAACGTGATGAAAGAGAACTCCCTGTACTATGGCACCAAGCTTTACTTACTTTTGTTCAGCGATACAAGAGTGATATCAGCAGCGAACAAAAAAGTTCCTTAATGGAATTGTTAAGACATCAAACTCACCCTACTATTACTTCTGAAGTTAGACGTGAGCTGCTAAGTGCCAAATGTAGGGATGTTGAATGTGCTGAGCCAATGGAGTAACAATATTCGTTGTCAGACAATGTATATAGAGATATATTTATAAGCTAGGAATAAGATTTATATTTTCCTAAGTAATAATTTCATCAGTTACTGTACATTATTGTTGAATACAGGTTACTTCATTCATACAAACCATGAGTAATCATTATTGGAGTTTAATTTCTTGAAAAGTCTCTTAAGTTTTAACAATTATTTTGGTACCCATACTTTATGCATCTTTTAATCCAGGCAAGTGACAGGGTACTTTTTCAATAATTTTCTGGAGATTTTTCTGCAAGTTCTTCTCTGCAGCCTCTTTTATTGTCCCATGAAGGCTATCTGCGGCCTGAAACATTTGAACTCAAGTTAGAAAAGATGCTGAAAAATAATGGTGGTAGTTGTAAGAGGGGAAAAAATGTACCTTTTCTGCTATGACTGATGAGAAAGTATCCAGGGGGTACAGTCCAGTCAGGTTGACTTTGATGGGTCCAAAATCATCAATTTTTGCCTCACTCAGTTTCAGTTTACAACCAGTAACGGAAAGGGAAATTTCTATTGCGAGTGTTACAGAGTTGGATGTTACATTGGCAAGCAAGTTGCCTGTAGTCCCGAAGTGCAGAATGGAGGCATCATAGTCATAACTGTAAAGGGATAAGAAAGTGTGAATTATTATTTCTTCCTAATTTATATTCTCGTTCTTGATAATCCGAACTCGACTTACTCAACTACCAGCTCTTCAAGACCTATGGGAGCCAACACCATAAGTTTGCCTTTGTTGTAAGCCAACTTTGCATCACCTGTCCTCTTCAGTGATGCCAGTGACCGGAGGGAACCCTTCGTGCAATGAAGATGACCGTGAACAACGAACGGCCAAATCTTTTGGTAAAAGTCCTCAGTGAAGTCTGGCAGTGGCACAGAGTCCTCCTTGGCGAGGACTAGCGCTTTACGCGCCGAGACGATAATGTCATCGAGCAGAGTGTTGAAGTTGATGCCCCTTTGTTCTGCTTCTCTCAGGAGGTCGTCAGACTGCGTGTCTGCCTGCAGGGATCGGAGTCAGAAAGGTAGTGGGCTGGCTCTGATCATGCTTAAACTGTTCCAGTGGGCAACATTTCCTCCAGGCGCGGTTCAAGGAGTGGGGGCAGGGGGCGATTCCCACCTGCCGTCTCCAGTGGTGAGCCACCTGAAAGGTGGGCAATTCGCGCTACAAAACCCCTGAACGCTGGCAACCGACAGTTTCCCCC